GCTCTCCCTACTTTGAATGCTCATATTTATGTACAGTGACAGGGTACAAATGCAGACGGAGGTGTTTTTAAAAAATACACGCAAGCACTCTTTAATGAATGCATTACTGGGTTAAATTGGCATTTTTTAAAGCTGCACAGTGGCTTAGTGTTTTTTTTTTCTGCCTTGTAGCACTGGGGGGTTCGAATCCCGGTCAGGACACTATCTGCAGGGCATTTGCATGTTCTCCCTGCGCTTGTGCGGGTTTCCTCCGGGTACTCCGGTTTCCTTTCACACATCAAAGACATGCTGGAAGGTTAATTGGCTCCTCTCTAAATCGGCCCTGCATGTGTGTAAAATAGGTACATTCGATTGTAAGCTCCTTGAGGGCAGGGACATAAATAAATAGCTATATCTTTATAATAGTGCAGTCTTACCTCTCAAGGACTATTAACTAATTGATTATTTTTTTTTTTAGGATTTAGTTGTATTCTCCTTAACAGAGCAGAACTTTCAGGCAGTCTGTCCACCTTGTCTCCCTAGCTCAGTGCTGCCAACAAACATGTTAAAAACTGTCTTCCAACAAAGAAGCTGACCACTTTAAAGTATGTAACATAATGGCTTTGATAAATGACCGTTTTACCTCCAGTAACCTGGTCAGATTTTTGGTCATTATTTTTGAGCTTAAGAAGAAAACAGATTGGCCTCCTTGGCGGCCTTACTGCCTGACATTTCTGCTCGACAGAGAGTAACAGCACACACATCAATCTCTGAGAGGTAAGGCTGCACTATTATAACAGGCTAAAGTGGATATTCAGGTTCTTTCAAATGTCAGTTTATGAGTGGATCTCTTTAAGGCTGAGAATTGATCCAGAGAGTCGTCACTGTTAGTACTTTACTATAGTCACTTGCATTATATTTTTGTGGTATATTTAGAACAGGTTTTGCATGCATTGTAAGTGCTATTGTCTACTAGATTAATGGGTCACTGTTAAGTACAAGATCACAAGGAACAGAGCAGTCTCCAGCTTCTGTCCATCTACTAGCTTGGAGAAGGTAGGAAAGTGGAAACAGAAATGGGGAGTAGGGGAGTGGCTTGCCTTAATGTTCCTGTGCGTTTGTGAACACAGAGCTTACTAACGCACACAAGGATGGCTCCATACTACCCTGCAAAGGAAAGGAGCCACCCTAAAACAGGGGATCAGGGCCAGCACTCGGGAGACCATCTGATTCTGCAAAGCTAAAACGTTTAAACATCAAGGAGCAACACCCATTGTAAGAGATTTGATGAGCATTTAAAATAGCTTCAGAACCTTTTGACTTTAATATTACTTTAATAAAACTGAGAAGTCAGAAAACAGTTGGTGTTATTTTGTCACTGTATCTGAAATAACAACCAATCCCCATATTCATTTTCCAGTATAGGTTTCAGTTGCAACACAAACAAAACTTATTTCAGAAACTGGGATAAAAAGGCCTAATTTATTTAATGCATGATTTGGTTCTGATTTTGGTAACCGAGCAATTGACGGCTTAATATTTTCCTAATTCAAATGTAGCCTTGTTATTTTTATTTTCCGATTTGTTGATGTTTGTTGGATGTTCCATGTATTCCTGACAATTTCCCTTGCGATGCCAGATGCATTCTCATGTCGTGTCCTGAAATGAACTGTGAAAAGTTTTTTTTGCTTCTGAGTAAAGCAAAATTCATAGATCCAGAAAGAAATGCAATTATTGTCAGCGGTTTAAGTAAGCGATGGACATATTTAGTAGAAGGATAAATTGTTTTGCACACATTGCCTCTGTGACCAGTAAAGCATGTTGGTAGCCGCATATCATTAAATTACTTGCATTTGCAAATAAGTTTCAGGAGTGTAAAATGTTTAACACATTAAAGGCTTTATTTAGTAGCATCTCCAGGGCAGTAAAGGTTAATCATACAGATTATATACAGAGAAAACTTGTTTTCAGCCTGCTCTGGCAGTAATCTGAATGAGTCAGAGCTGCTGCCGACTTTTTCAACAGTTATCCACTTAAATATTCGGACTGGTTAAAAGTTGTAATCTTTTTAAGGCTCCTTTCACATGGTCCAACCAGGAGGGGATCTGTGCACTTATCCGCTGCTGATCAGAACAGATGTGAGCGTTGTGACATCCGTGCCCGTCCAGTTTTTTTCTCCATCTTATGATGAAGGAAAAACTAAAATTACGAGGCCTGTGTTGGTCTATGGGGAATCTGATGCAAGCAGACTTTTGTCCGTTTACATCAAATGACCCCCTAATGGGCACGATCAGGTCTGGCGGAACGGAACTCTGATCTGTTTGCCGGAACTGTGAATAACGAGATGTAAACGTAGACTAACATTGAGCTACCGATCAGACCCGCCTGAAAAACTCACAGGTGGACCTGATTGTAAAGCCCATGTGAAAGGGCTCTTGGGGTACAAATTTGTGGTTGCTGAATACAAATACTTTGTCCTATAGCCGGCACAGGTGGATGGCAGATTTTGCTGTTATTTTGGCCAAAACTGTTGCAGACCAGTACAAAGTTGGTCATCAACAGCCAATCATTGATCAGTTTAACTATACAAAACTAATAAGAGGGGTGCTCTTTGGTTATGTTAATGGGTAAAGTACAGTAAATCACTGCGGTATGTTAAATTTTACCTATAGCTAGATGTTTCTTTTTGTCTTTTTTTTGGATAGCGAAAGGAAGGATTAGATACTTGTTTGGGCTGTAATTGCTGTCTGTGTCGCTGCCGGTGAAATACACCCTATCTACTTTTTCTGGTGGTATCCTTTGTCACTGGGGCAGAAAAGGATGGATAATGCCAAATTTTACATCTTTCATAACAGACAGAGGAAAAAACATGAAATGGGAACACCTGTTCAGTGACCACTGTCAAATAAGGTATTGCCACTCACTTGTGTCTTTCAACCAAAGGCAGATATTCCCAAGGAAGCATAGATAGCAAGGAAAAAAAAAACTTACAGGGGTTTTACCATTTCTTACTCCTTCCAAAGCTTAAAAAGAGAGATTTTGTGGCTCTAAATACAGTTTATGTATACTAGTAAAGAATGATAAGTTGTGAAATGTTTTTCTATAAAACATCAATTCAGTGAAAGCACTTTTATTTAAATTCTTTATGGGCAAGAAATATACAAAAGGGTACATATAACTCAAGAACAAAATAGCGATGCCAAAAGGCACCAGGTGGTAGCTCACATTATTCAGCAAAGTGAAAGCACTATTAGTTTTGTTTAGCCACCCCCTTAAGTTACCCCCTTTTCACAGCCGGCTGGCGTGTGGGCGGGGCTGGAGCTGCGTGCGGGCGTGAGCTGCGGCCGGGGGCGGGAAATGAAAAGACCAGATCAGTAAAAAAATGACCATCTCTTTAATTTGTGTAGCTCTCATTGCTTATTTTAACCTGCTTAATTTCTATTGTAGTCCCTTGGCTTTTTTTTTTTTGAAGTGTGAATAAATATTTAAAACTCCATAGATTTAGGTACTAATGAGTACTAATGAGACTGAAAAGTTCAGTTTCACGTACAATGCATGCATGCTCACTGTGATTCCAACGTATAATTTTGGGGCACGGTTCCATGAACATGTTAGTGATGGCTCTTACAGGTTATATACAAGTGTTACTGATGGCTAACTCTAGCAGTGAATTTGAATAATATATGTTCGTGTCACAGGAAAGTAAACACATCTTTGATAGTTACTTTGATTAAATATACGGTTAATGTAAGTTCCAATTGTCCCATATCCCTGCTAGAATTTGTAAGATGTGGACCATTTTTATGAAAACATAAGAATCATACTAAACACATTTCTTTTATTTTGTGATATTTAAGTCAGGATATTGGGATGACCACTCCAGAACCTTCAGTTTTTGCTTCTGCAGCCAAGTTTTACTTGGCCTTATCTTTCAGAATATTGCCATGTTGGAAATTCCAACTGCTCAGCTTCTAGGTTCATGAATACAAATTTGTTTCCAATATTTCTGATAATATGCCGTATTAATTTTACCATACATTTTGGCCAAATTCCCTATGCCGCTTTAGCTCACACATCCTTAAAACAGCAGAATTCCACTTCCATGCTTCATGGTATGGATCATGGTCTTCTTCATAGACCTTATTGACTCCCCTCCATATACAGGTAAAACTCGAATAATTAGAATATCGTGCAAAGTTCATTTATTTCACTAATGCAACTTAAAAGGTGAAACTAATATATGAGATAGACTCATTACATGTAAAGCAAGATAATTCAAGCCGTGATTTGTCATAATTGTGATGATTATGGAAAACCCCAAGAACCCCAAATCCACAACCTCAAAAAAGTAGATTATTACATGCAATCAATAAAACAAGGATTGTACATAGAACAATATCGGACCTCTGAAAAGTACAAGCATGCATATATACTCAGTACTTGGTTTAGGCCCCTTTTGCAGCATTTACTGCAATCACTTTTGCATGATATTCTAATTATTCGAGTTTCACCTGTATAGCTTTAATAGTTGTGACCAATAATTTAGATTTTGGTCTTGTTATGCTAAATGATGACAGAAGTTTTAAGAATTTTGTATGCGTAGGTATTCTTAGAGTTGTGTCTAGAAGCTTTTTGCTCTTGGACCTTATGCTAAGTGGCAGGGCAGTCTCCATAGATCAGTTGTTTGATTATGTGTAAAGCTCAGAGCCCCATGGTCATATTTGCAGCTATCCCTGTTGAACAGGAAACAATTCTATAAGAAGATGTTCTTAAAATCTGCATGTAATGGCCTTTGGGGGAAATGATAAATATATAACCATATTAAAAATGTGTTCATCCATATAGTAAGCTTCAATAAATGTTACAGCCCATGTGTGCTGTCAAAGAGAATCCCTGTATGTGCCTCTATGACAGAACCTATACTGTATTCCTGCATGTTTGTGTCCTACTTTCCTAACTCTTATGTATACTTTTTTTGTTTCTTTTTATTTAGCAAACCGTGAAGATTGCGTCAGAGCAGCATGGAGGACGGAAAGCCTGTGTGGGCGCCACACCCAACTGATGGATTTCAATTGGGAAATATTGTGGATATTGGTCCAGATTCTTTAACAATTGAACCTTTTCATCAAAAAGGAAAGGTAAGCTTTTACTGGAAAATTGTTGCAAGAATTTTTTTTACTAGCTTTTTTTCTTCAATTAAAATTCCTTCTACATCTCTGCTTGAACTGGTCTCCACATGGCAACTATCCAGATTAGCTTATTATCAGTTTTACATTGAAGTGCCATACTTGGACCCCTGCAGGACTGGATGTTGAGGGGCTATCCGCACTGTCTCTCTAGCCATTCAGCATTGAGGAAACTATTCTGTGACCCAAACTCAGTGCAGAGCCGTGCTGCAGCCAGGAAAGATCCCGTCAATATTGTCAGATCCACCCCATTGCCTGATTGGCAGCAGGCTCTGCCTCCCCTGTCTGTACCTCCAATGAGTGCTGAAGTAAGAAAGAAAGGGAAGAATCCCTTTCTTTCTTACTTCAGAATCACTTAGTTCTTGAGCTATAGAGGCAACGTGTGACACTGCAGCTGTCACACGCTCAAACTATTGAAAATAATAAATTTTACTCTCCAAAAAGTTCTCCTCTAAGGTGCTCACCAGCAAGCTACTGGAGGTCTTTGTAGACACCTCGACATCTTGTATCTCAGATGGGGGTGTAAAGGTAGTTTACAGGGCCTGCAAGCTAGAGTTTGGACTCTCAGTTCATCACTTCCAACATATCTGTGTGCCTACGCCCCCACTCTGCAGTCATAGCTTGACTCACAGCAGAAGGAGCCTATGGCTCCTCTGGCCTAAGTACCCACCCCCGCAACCTGGCAGTTTGGGGAAACCCTTGTATCTTCCTTGTCGCAGCAGAGGAGACGAGCGGCTGCAGGTAAGTGTGTGTGTGTGTGTGTGGGGGGGTTTCAGGGTTTTCACAAAAGTGCTGGGTGTTTTTTGCCTTGATGCAGAGAATGCATTAAGGCAACAAACACTCAGCCTTTAATGCGATTTTAAATACTCTGTTTTGATAGTAAAAGCTCAACATTATACATGTATAGCCTCTGGTATGGCCACATACAATGGTGTTCTAGGCATGATATAATTTTCTGTGCCCTTCCCATTGTTGTACTATATCTTTCATATCTGCTTCCCCCTTATTCCCTGCATCATTTATAGTCAGTACATGCCCACAGAAAGTATCTTGTACCCCAACACACCAGCTACTTTTGGCGCAGAAAAACAGTATATGAAACATATAAGAAGTAGATCATGTTCAGGGTTCAGTGTGGGCAGCAGCATTACCTAATAATTTAGTTACTACATGTGAAAGACTTGCAGAGCAACAATAGGTAATGTAGTCCACATACAGAATACTGCAAAAAAGAATGCTATCTCCATACTCAGTGTTAAATCCTGGTTTTGAAAATGCTGTACACGACAGGAGCATTAATATATATTCTTGTTTACAAGAATTGAAAAATGACAAGTTAAGGGTCTTGTTCATAACAGCCAGCTGGAATTCACTTTTTTATTTGTTTGAGCTTCTGAGATGAATTGTTTTGATGCTATGGCAGCACCTCAATTTACCTTTAAATTAAATTTACTAAGAAAACAAAATCATGTATGCATTAGGTAAAGCTTTACATGTGAGCATCAAAATGTTGTGTGGGCTTTTCCTGAATTGAATATTGGCAGCAGCCCCTGCCTGCCTTGATGCTTCACTATGTCTTCTACAGATTGAAGAACATATCACTAGTCCCCCCTCCCCCAACCATGTGCCCTGACTAAATATTTCTTTGTGGATTTGCATAGCCTATGTAATGACTAGAATCATGTCCTATGTGAGCTGTAGTTCTTAACAGGTATTCTGTATTTGGTGATCTTATTTTATAGAGAAAGCAACACTGTAAATATTAGTATGAGTCAGGGGATCAAATCTTAAGCATGCCAGCCTTTAAAGTGTCACTAAACTCAGAAGGTACATCCTAAAAATACATTCAAGTACCTTAACTATTAACAACAATGTATCTTATTTGTGTATCACTCAGCTGAACATCCTCAAATCATCTCTGAATTCATGCTGACACTCTCCTTCCTTCTGGAGGGTGGCTACTTTTGTTCCCTATGGTCCCTGTGTGTGTTGTAAAGTAGCCATCATTCCAAACTCGCTCCCGTGATTGACTATAACTTCAATACAAATTAGTAAACTAAACGTGAGCTTGTAGCCCATCATGGGAGCGAGCTTGGAGCCTTGGCTACTTTACAACACACACAGCATGAATTTGCATTTGAGATGATTTGAGGTTCTACAGCTGAGTGATACACAAATAAGTACATTTTTTGTTAATAGTTAAGGTTCTTGAATTAATTTTAAAGATTTAACTTCTGAGTTTAGTGTCACTTTAAGGATAACTTACCATAATGTTGCTGCCATGAAGTGTACTTGTGTACTGCATTCATGACGTTTGCTCTCATGTTGTGCATATTTGTTTTACAGACTTTTTTGGCAGCTATAAATCAAGTGTTTCCGGCAGAAGAGGACACTACAAAACATGTTGAAGATAACTGTAAGTAAGATTGTACGATGTCGATGATGCTCGTTATACAGCACCTAACAGAGTACCTAGTAGAAGCCATTTAGTAGGTGAAATGTGAGGTGTGTGTGTTTTAAATTATGCAAGTAATTCATTCTATTCAGATCAACACAAGGCTCAGAAGGCAAAATTCTCTACTCATTAGAGATGCACCGATACTGATACAGGTATCGGTATGGGTGCCAATACCGAGTATTTCGGCCAGTACTCACCCAAATGCTCCCGATGCCTATCCCGGTGCATCCCTACTACTCATTCGATTATAAGAGTTGATTAGATATACAAGTTTGACTTTTCACTGGTGGGAATTAACACAATTAGGATTAGAGCAAAGATTCAAGCATTGTGAGTTACAAATGTTATAGGGGTGTTATGCCTGATCCCTGTATTTGTCATTGGGAAATCCTGAAAAAAACTTAGAATAACTTTTACTTTCCGATTTAATTTCCAGGATGCAAGTGAGCCTTGAAGTTGAATCTCTAGAGATTATTTAATGATTCTTATAATGTAACATATCGTTTTGTGGATAATTGTTTAGTTTTAAGCTAAGGGTGGGCATCATGACTTGACGGTAAAGTTATTTAGAATGCCTCTTCCAATAAAATAACCTGAAGATGAAACACTGAAAAATAACTGTAACAATAAAAAGTACTTTTATTCAGAATCTCCAATATGTCAGCATGTCCAGTGCATGGTTGTTTTTTGTACATACACTTATTAGGTACAGATATTTTGTATCAAGCAGGACTCCCCTTTGCATGGAGAACAGCCTGCAATATGGCTTCATCAAGGTTCTAGACATGTACAAAGTGTTAATTAAGCTTAGAAATATTGGTAGCAGTAAGGTTACTAAGTTTATTTGTTTGTACATTTAAAAAATTGATCTGTAATATTAGGCATTAGCTGTCTGGATGAGTGAAAATGCTGCCTCAGGACCTGTTATTAGTAGAGCAGTTTTCAGTTCTACTACCTACCATTAAGATCTATTGTAACAAAAATCCATTATGCGACTCACACCAGAGGGAGAAGACAAATTAAACTATTTCACTTGACTGCCTACAGCTCTGTATGTGTCAGACATGTCAGACATACTGATGTCGGGTGAAGGTGTTGTGTGGTTACACCAGGTTTGTCTATCTGGCCTCTAGAGCAGTGTGTTTTGGGAATATAAGAGTAAGCTTGATAGAAAATGTTATAGACCAGAACTTCTGTGTATTAGTTAACTTAATTTATATCTGGAAATAATGAGTGGCGCACTACAAAATATAATCTCTAAATCAACTTAAGCTAACATTAAAATAGCACACCACTAAGAGTGCTACAAGCAACAAAATGTGATGTATACACCGAGTGGCCAGATTATTATGACCACCCCATCAGTACTTCGTTGGGCCACGAGATGACTCCAAGGCGCTGTCAGCTTCCTGGCGGGCTCGGCACGTGGAGCTGCGAACACGCCCGAGCCCATCATTAATGAAGACTTGGACTGATGATTAAACTATTTATTTTTTCATAACGGGATTGAACTGTATTTACGCTCATTTACTTGATGTGATGACACATTAGCTTGTTATGTTGTGGAAGTCTGGGCATATCTATACCCTTGTGTGATACAGACTGTTTGATGAATTCATTATACACTTCTTCACAATTGGATTGATCCACACAACATATATTTGAATTGATAGTTCATTTGTTATGATATAGAAGTCCTCATATATTTATATTTGTTATATATATCACATTTTCATACTTGTAGCACACTTGGTGGTGCACCATTTTATTTCTAGACTAAGTTGATTTAGAATTTATATTTAGTAGCGTGACACTCATTACTTCTAGATTTATTTGGGATCCTGTGGATTAACAGTGTTGCAGCTTATTATATTGTGTTGGCCTGGGATTTACCCATATTAATTTAATTTATATCTGTGTTAGTCTTGATGTGTTTTTATTTTGCATAGTTTTCCACAGTCATATTCTGCAGTGCTTGACATGGAGCAGAGAAGTAGTAGCATCAATCCCTATTCTTGAAAGAGTTTCCAGTCTGTCCTTACACAGTCTTTCCCTCCTATACATGGATACACTTTGGTCTGCAGTCAATTACCATCCTGTGTTTTTTTAGGCCTGTGAAAGAAAAGTTCTTCAGACTTGGGTAAAACATGCAGCTTCAATGTGGATAAAGTCTCTGATGGCAAATTGATCCCAGGACCCCAACTCTACTAGGCTAAAGTGAAACTACGTAGTCATCATATAATGCCTGTAGCTTTTTTTGTTCAAGAAGTACATCTAAATACAGGCACAATTTCCAAATATGTTTTTATTTTCACTAATAAATGTGCCCATCTAGGAGATCGTTATTGTTGTAGATTAATAAGCTTTGTGATGTCACCCTCTACATGATCAAAATGAATTGCAGCCAGTGTCTGATGAGATACTGAATAAGTCCAGTGGATGATTAATTCATATAAAAATCTAAACTGACACTGAAATATAATTGGTGTATTCTGTTGAGCTCTGATTGCATATATCAATCAATGCAAATAGTTTTTAATCAAGACAAGTTGTACACGATATAGTAAATGTTGGCTGACACAGAAGACTGATAACAATATATTATGTATATCTAAAGCCAAAATGTTTTTCTTTGTTTTTTTTTTTTTATTCTATTTTTTGTAATTGTTTTAATTATTTAGCTTTAATAAAGTAAGGGTTGAACCCCTGCCAGGCTCTTTGTTTCCATTGGGGAGAGTTCCGGTTCTATAAACACAACATTAAATTGTAGGAGATATCTTTAAAGTCAGGGAATTGCCCTCTCAGACAGTTGTCACCAGAACATTGAAACATTTGCCCTACATGCCTGTATTTGTGGCAACTCAGTTTTTCAGATTTGATGATGGTCATCAGGGCAAATCAAGAGTATGAATCTCCACGATGGGAACAGAGACAGCAATAAACACCTGACTGGGTTCTAGCTCTGGCTTCTTTTGCCCCAAAATGCACTTTCAAAGCAACCCTGCCTGACAAAGTTAATATGCCACAAAGATGTCCATAAAAAAGATAGCAAACACTCACCTTTCTGGTGCAAAAAGGGAAGTATCTACTAACCTTTTTTACAGGGCCACCTTTTTGATCAATTTACTAGTGGGGAAGGTGTAAAAACCCAGTCAGTTTCTTACAGTGAGGAAAAGGATTATTTGATCCCCTGCGGATTTTGTATGTTTGCCCACTTACAAAGAAATTGAAGGTCTATAAATGTATCATAGGTGTATTTTAAATGATAGAGACAGAATATCGACCAAAAATCCAAAAAAAAGACATGATACAAATGTTATAAATTGAGTTGCAGTTCAGTGAGTAAAATAAGTATTTGATCCCCCACCAACCAACAATAATTCTGGCTCCCACAGACTGGTTATGTGGTACACAGATTAGTCCTGTCAATTTAAGAAGGTGCTCCTAACAACAACTCGTTATGTATACCAAGCCAAATCATTGGTAACACAAAACCCTGTCATGGATTGAGATCCTGCAGCGCCCGCAAGGTCCCCCACCCTCAAGAAGGCACATGTGCAGGCACGTCTAAAGTTTGCCAATAAACATCTTAATGATTCAGAGAAGGATTGGGAGAAAGTGCTGCGGTCTGATGAGACCAAAATTAAGCTCTTTGGCATTAATTCGACTCACCGTGTTTGGAGAAAGAAAAAGGCTGACTATGACCCTAAGAACACCAGGTGGAAACATTATGCTTTGGTGCTGTTTCTCTGCTAAAGGTACAGGCCGACTTTGCCACTTTGAGGGGCCAATGGACGGGGTCATGTATTGTAAAATCTTGGATGAGAACCTCCTTCCCTCATCCAGAACACTGAAGATGGGTCGTGGATGAGTCTTCCAGCATGACAATGACCCAAAACATACCGCCAAGGCAACAAAGCAGTGATTCAAGAAGAAGCACATTAAGATCATGGATTGGCCTAGCCAGACTCCAGACCATAATCCTATAGATAATTTATGGAGGGAGCTGGAACTTCAAGTTACCAAGTGACAGCCAAGAAACCTTAAGGATTTAGAGAAGATCTGTAAAGAAGAGTGGACCAAAATCCCTCCTGAGATGTGTGCAAACCTGGTAACCAACTACAAGAAACATCTTACCTCTTTGCTTGCCAACAAGGGTTTCTCCACCAAGTACTAAGTCATGTTTTGATTGGGGATCAAATACTTAGTTTACTCACTGAACTGGAACTGGAATTGATAACATTTGTATCATGTGTTTTTTCTGGATTTTTGGTTGATATTATATCTCGATCATTTAAAATACATCTATGATAACAATTTCTGACCTTTCATTTCTTTGTAAGTGGGCAAACTTACAAAATCAGCAGGGGATCAAATCATTATTTGCCAAGCTGTATGTTCTGGGTCTCTAATGGAACAGAATGTGATGGGACAGCTCTCCAGTGGGTACTTAGTCTGCTACAAAACAACATTTTCAGTAAAATGGGAAAGGGTCAGAACATTTTTCGGGTTATTAATCCTGTCTGTGGCTTCCTGCCTCAGCACTAAACACTTTGCTAATGTTTGTCCTGCTGTTCAATGTTGTGAGTTGAAATCTCTCCAACACGGACAACAGACAACAGTAAACATTTGACCTAAATCTACCTTTTCCTAGTCTATCCAAATTAGACTTTAATGCCAGATTCTACTCCGTGTTTGTAAGGGATCGGGCGTATTGCGTTCCACCTGGAACTCAACGCCAGAGCCGAACATCGCAGAGCGTGGGTTGCGTTCCAGCTTGGAACGCAACGTACGCGATGACGTCATGCGGCTCCTCCCACCTAGCGGCTGGAGACCGCTTATAAGCCTCGTGGGAGCTCTGCACTGCGTTCCACTAATTTGGAGTGTACGCCGTGCCTGCTCCAACCACTGCCAGTCTGCCATAATTGAGGGAGCAAAGACAGGAACCTCATCCCTGGAACCTCACCCTGCAGGCTCATCACTCGCTGCCTACTTGGGGCTATGCATCCACACCAGCTCAACCGCAAGTATCAGTCACCTCAGTGACTGCATTTAAGCTGGACTGTCATTCTTCTTCACATAGAACCTTTGATACCAAGTGCTCTGTATGATTTACCTTTACCTACCAATGTGCACCGCATTCCCCTCATAAGAGATTGATGCTTTTGAATTGTGTGACATACAACCCCTGATGTAAGGACTGTATTACTGTTGCCTGCAAAAGAAGATCTAGTCACTCTCACAACAACATACCACCGCCACTGATAGAGGGTATAGCACCTACCAGTTAAAAAGGAAACAGGATAGGGAGCAGGTGTAGGATGTTAGGATCCCAAACTCTCCGTATTGAAGATAGAGAGAGCCGCCTGGGAATCTGCAACTGAACAACCTGAACTAACCCCTCACTCTCGTTTCTGGGGTTTGTGTACCTGTACATGCAACACGTTTCCGCAGTTGAGATCCTAGCAACCCAGCTCAGTGCATTACAGTGTTTTGGTAATTGAGAAGCTAGGATTGTTTTATGACTTGCGGGGTGGATTTATAATTGTTGAATGAAGAGGTAGATATATGACTTGCACCTACATAACTTCCGTATGTCTTCTGTTGTACTGTTATATAGGCCATTACTCACACTCTTCTGCTTCCGGAATACAATGATGAGGCATTGAGATAATTTGTATGCCCACCAAATATTTGAAATCTTGTCTAAAAAGCAAGGTTTTGCTTCAGAAAAAATTAGGACGTTGCATCCTCAGAAACCATTTGTCCTTGTTGTACTTCTTTATTATTGGGGTTTTTAGACCTGCTCACCCATGGCATGCAAAGACCACAGACGGGCATTTAAAAAGCCTAATCCTTGCATGTGATTTAGCCGTGCTTACTTTTTTTTATGGGGCTGTGTTTCCAAAATTCTGAATGCAGTCATTTTTTTAGTGTCCTGTAGTGTGTTGGAGAAGAACAATGGTATGAGCCAGGCCATAGGAGAACATAAGCCCTACACTTGCCTGGTGTTCTTATACATGGCAAACTGAAAGAATGCATTTGTTTGAATGAGGCATCCATAGAACACCTGTTATTATGTGATACTTTTAAAGCCAGGGTTGTTGTAAAA